CGCATGAAGCAGCTAAACTAAACATAAAGATCAATGAGATCTTAGAAGACTCTGATGCTCTTAATATTAAAAGAATAGAAATATCAAGCTTGCTAGATACAAAAGAGCTTCGTATCTTTTTAAACCTAGACAAGATGAACCTTTTTATACTAGAATAGCTTATAAATAGTACAAGAAGTTACCTGCTAACATAGGATCAACTAAAGTATATAAGAGGTAAAAAAACAAAGGGCTGTATTCTAAGCTAGTTTAAAAAACTTGAAGAAAGGATACTAAAAGAAAACAGCTCTAGAGAAGTACAAGACCTCTACAAAGTAAAGAGCCCTAATAGAAAAGCAATAAAACTTAACTACAAGTCATTTCCAAAGATAGACAGAAAAAAGAATAGGTGCTTTTCAAAAGAAGAGAAGATTTCCATATAGGAAAAATAGTAAGGAAAACAGAGAAGCTTGTAATAGTTGAATAAGTTGAGTACTGAAGACAATTAAGCCAACTAGCAAGGGACTGCTCATTTGACAAGTGTAGCTATTGCATCATAGGAAGCACTGATAATAATGAGTATTTAGTCAATATCAGATATGATGAAGGATCTCAGGTAGTCAAGGTAAAGAAAATTAACAGAAAAGAAGTAATTTTGAGAGTATCACTATTAGTACTTATTGAGGATAAGGAATCTTATACAAATCATAAGGCAGACTAAGAGGTATCAGTAAAAATCATAGCAAATAGTCTTAAAAGTACAATCATACAAAGAGTAGTAGAGAACAAAAGAATCAAGAGAGAGCTAATAGATATATATAAGAAGTTAAAAGAGAAAGAGATTATTAGGTATTATATAGAAGGTGCGCTAGCAGGAAGTAGTAGAGAGCTGGGATCAGGTAGAATGCGAGCTAGTTGGTTAGTTAGAAATAGAGAAGAGATAGACAGTAGTATTAGTTTTAGTTATGGTATAGAAAACTGGCCTTCATCAACTCATGCAAAATTAGAAGCTATATGGGTAGCTTTGCTAATAGCAACTTGTAAGGCTCAAATACATATATTCACTAATAGCAAAGTAGTAATAGAAGCTATTAAAAAGTACATGAGTGACAACAAGTTAAAAAGTTAGTTTAAAATAAAAAACAGAAGTTTACTGAGAAAGATAAAAGACTACTACATAGCAAAAAGTCTAAATTTGTTATTATACAAAGTCAAAGATCATAGCAGTGACAAATGGAATGAGCAAACAGATTATTTAGCTAAAGAAGGTATCAGAAGAACTGATATACTCAAAGTACCAGAGACAACACTAGGTAATATTCGAGCTATACTAAAATAGAAAGACCAAATAATAGACTGCTCACTTAGATTGTTTATAAACATAACAACTGTGATAATATACAAAACAGAATGAACTGAACTAAGCAAGACAGCAGATATCATAGCTTTGAATCAAGAAGACAACTCCAGCAAAGAGCCAATTTGGAAAAACACTTAGGAAGTACTAAAGAAATGACAAAGGAAAAAATACATTAGTCTAAAGAAAAGCAGAGACCTCATATTTCACATAAAATGTATCAATAATATTCTACTAACAAAAAATATCTGCTATTTGAGAAACCCCAAACTATATAAGAGCAGAAGATACATAGCCTACTTTAGAAAGGATGAAACCTTGTATCATCTAGCAGAATGTGAAATCTACTAAAAAATATAAAGGAACCTAGAAGAAGAAACTCTATACCTAATAAGTTTCAAAGTATTAACAAAGTTGAATCTATCACTTAAGGAAGATGTATTGACAAAAGCACTCTATAGTAAAGACCCAGAAGAGAAAATGCATCTCAGAGGCCTTACAAATAAGAAGCAACATACTGATATATGCAAAATAGTGCAGTTTAAAAGCAAGGCAAACAAAATATTAGTAAGTTTTATTGAGCAATTCTGGTCTTGTTTCTACGAACGATTATAGAAGTTTAGATATAAAGTAATAGTTGAATAGGAAAAAGAAAATAATATCACAACTAAAGAGAAAAGAAGAAAAAAACCAAGAAAAAAAGGAAAGGTGAATAAAGAGAATATATCTTCTATAAATAAAACAAAGGAATCAAAGAAGAAGAAAGAAACAAGAATTCAAAAAGAAGCTTCTGACAGAGTTGATAGATAGATAAAGTCAGGTAGTAAAGAAGGATAGTTAAAGTTCAAAACAAATTAGATGATTTTGATATAGGCCAGTAGCAGCCTTTTGTTGACTAAGAGCTAGAGATTTGTATATACAAATTTAAACTCTTATGAGAGAAATTGTTGCTACAGCAGATCATACTTAGGTGCTGAAAAGTAACTGAGTGAGTTCTGATTAGTTTTAGGAAAATAGTTTGCTATAAATAGTATAGCATTTTACTTGTAGCTTAAATTAGCTTATTCTTAATAAAATGATGAGCAAGATCACCTAAGTATAAAAAAAATAAAAATGTTTCAGGTAGCAAAATTTACAGAGTTATTTCCTATGTTGCTTCTGAAGTTTTATCAGATAAACAACAGTTTACACAAGTAGCAGAAATTTATAAATTTGATATTATTATAGCAGAGATGTCAACTAGTTAAAGACCTTTTGATAGTCATTAATTTAATACAAAACTTGCAGTCAAGATTTGCAGAGGAGAGAGATCAAAGTTTGCATTTAAAACTTCTAAATGCTATATTGAATTAGCTGAGAAATATATAAATTCTGATTCACAAAATGATCTAGTGCTTATTATGTTTATTATACATTAAAATATAATTAGCTTGATAAGATAGCTAGTCCAAATAATAATAAATTTAAAAAGCAATTCTTAGATACTGATAAAGTTACTAAATTATTGCTAATATCAAAGTATTCTAATAAAATATACACTAGTAAAATTATTAGCACAAAATTAATTTCAAAGACAATTTAAGGTATTTTTATTAATTTTTAACTAATATGTAAAAGTTTATTATATTTTTTAAAAATAATATATATTTATTTATAATTGTAAATAATTTAACAATTGTATTTTGTAAAAATAGGATTTAATATTATTAATAAATAATGTAAAAAGTTTATATCAGATATTTGGGTTATAAGATAATAAGCTTTAATAAGCTCATTTTAGCATTATTTAAAAAAATTTTTTTTATATAAAAAAAAAAGCTATGTACTCATATCACTACTCACTATCATATGATATGAAAACCAAGTATATAATTTTGTATAACCTTATCAATAAATTGTTCAGTATAACTATTATTATACTCTCCAACTTCTATTAATATTGCTTATAAATATTCGAATTTGTATTTAGAATTAAGTATATATATGATTATAATATGATTAATTATTTACAAAACTCTTTCTAATGATCACTTGAACTATATGTGGAAAAAACTTTTATTATTTTAAAAACAATAACATAGTTAATATTTTTAAAAATACACAATAATCTTAATAGAAAAAATAGCATGAGATATATCTTAACTAGTTTGATACTAGTTTATAGATACAAGCAACATATTATATAAAACTTGGCTTTAGTGAGAAGTAACTATTGAGGTTTTTTGGAGAAATATATTATTTGTTTGAAAACAATAAAAGTTGTAAGTTGAAAAAAAGGAAGAAGAAATATCTATTACAGTATTTGAACTAAGTCAAATATTTCACTCTCTTTTACTACTATAGTTTTTGCAACTACTACTTGTACTCTCGATTTTTGGTTTTTTTTTCAAATAATTGTGGAGATTTGGCATACCTTTATATAAAGATCAATATTGTTAATCATTTCCAAATTAGAATATATCTGTTGGTACACAATATTGTACAGAAAAACAATAATATATAAAATTGCTAAACATATAGACTAACCTATTTGAATTTAATTACAGAATAAATGTAAACAATAAGATACACATTTTTACTGTTGTGTAGTGTAATATTTTTATCAACTGAGAAGAGATTCTTTTTCTTAGATTAGGTTTTTTTTCTCACCTTTTTTTTTTTTTATATATTTCTCTCTTTTCAAATTAGTTTTTTTATACTTATAGCAAGTTTTTTTAATTTGAAATATATTATAGATTATAGCTATTTAGATTTATACAATTTTTATTTTTTCTTCACAATATTTAGACTATATTCTATTTTTTTTCTTAGATTTATTTAGGATTAAGAATAGAATAATCTAGCTATAGTAATCTTGAAATTAGCTAGTAGTAGTCTTCTGTAGATAGGAATTAGATATACATATCTGATATATACTTAGTTTTAGAAGAAAATATGCTGCTACAGCAGATCATACTTGGGTACCATTTAGGTAGCTAAGTAAATTCAGAATTGCAACAAAGAGAACATTTCTTAAAATTAGACTTTTTTCTTTTTTTCTGTATTTGTTTATATATCTTATAATATTTCTCTTAATAAAATGAAAAGTAAGTTTGCCTAAAGTTAAAAAAAAATATGATCAATTATTTTATTCCAAAACTTTTCAAATTTTTTTATCATTAAATAAGTCATATTATTAATATTAATTTTTTTGAGCTGCTATAAAATTTCTAATATTACTATTATAGCTTTAGATATAGAGTTGAATGATTTTTAGAAAGAACTAATATTGCAAATTCGAAAGGCTTAAGAAGTTGACAAACTGATTTTAGATTTATTAATTCTTCTTAGCTTTAATAATATAATATTAAAGATTATTTAAAATATATCTTACTAATTGCTAGGTATAAAAAAATATATCTTTGAATATAGCTAATATCAAATTCTACAGAATTTCTATTTCAAGTATTAGATATAAAAAACCTATTTTAATAATATAACAATATAACTCTATTAGTTTTAAATAACTATTAAATAAAGGATTAGCTAGATATTTTATATTCTTATGTATCTTTTTTTGAAGATAACTTATTTCTGTTAAGCTTACTTTAGCTATTAAATTTAAAATATAGTATATATATCTAATTGATACAATATTTGTATAAGACAATTCAGTTTAAAGAATTTAGCTTATAGCTTTATTAGTTATAGTATTATCTATAGTAAGTCTAAATAGCTTTTCATTAATATTATAGTCTTCTAATATTTTTAATAGTACTGATTTTATATTCTGAGTAGTTTGATCTAACTTTTAGAAGTTTAATATAATATTAACTTGTTGCTAATTATTACTTATCTAAAGTCTAGTTACTAAAGTATAGTGATATCAGTAGATTGTCAAATATTATCTGTTATATGTTAATAAAATTTGATTTGAAGTTTTTATTAATATATTTTTTATGAACTCTAATCTTTTACTAAATATATTTTCAGATAAATGCTGTAATACTATAGTTAAATATAGAATTTTATATGAATTAGCTATACTATAAAATTTTTTTATCATATTATAGAATAGTAGATTATCAAGAATATTAAATAAAATTCTAGTTTCAACAACTAAATCAATAATTAAACTATCTATTTCATCTTTTATAACTAGTTTAACGAGTTTGGATTTATTCTTTTGAAATTTATATATAGAAGAATAAGGACGAGATATTGTATAGTCTTTAAATAAGTTCTACTTGTATTAAATCTATATATATTTTTTTTTGACAATATTGATACTTCTAGGCTTTATTATTATTATTCAATATCAAATTTTAATGATCTTTAGTATAATATATACTATTACTACTATAGGTATTAAATATGAAGTTATTAGAATTTGGTAAATTATTATATACAAAGTTATTAGTATTAGATATAGAATTTTTATTTAAGTTTTTATTATATACAATATAAGTAATATTTATTAAATCAATACTAGAAATAGAAGATATATATATACAATTCTAATTAATTAAAATACAATTACAAATTATTATTTTTATTATATAAAATATATTATAGAAATAAAAAACATTAATCTAATTTAACTCTATATATCTATTATTTAATTATATAATATAATATAATATTGTTTTAATTAGAGAACTCAACTTACTAATTTACTATCTTAACCTTATAATTGGAAAAAGCTTAAAGATAATTTTGTTAACATATTTTAACAATATACTTTGAAAAAATATATTAAGATTTTTTAAGAAGATTGTATATAATTAATACACAAACTTCTTACAAAAATCTTAATATATTTTTTCAAAATATGTCATTAATATATATTAATAAAATTATCTTTGAGCTCTTTCTAATTATAGTCAAAAATAATCACTATCATGTGACCTTGATATTTTTTTGTTATAACTAACTTACTTGTATAAGATATTCGCAAACTATTAGAAATCTGCAGAATTGAATAATCCTTATTATATATTTCAAGTTAGTTTTTGTTATTCTAATAAGATTGAAGTTAAAATAGATAAATACAAAGCATCAAGTATAATATAAATGAATAATTCTATCAGAATTTTTAAAACTACTATTTGTTACTATTATAGAATTTGTATGAAAAAATAGATTAAAAAGTAAGTATAATTTTAATTTTTATATCAAGAATTACTGTTATCTTCTTTTACTATATAGAGATGAGAATAATAAATACCTTATCAAGATTCTCAAATTTTACTAATAATCATATTTATTTGTTGTGAGAATAAAAATATTTTATAAGTTTAATATCATTTCTACAATTTAATTATTAGAAAGTAAGAATAAAGAAATATTATTTATATTTTTATTTATTAAAGTTTGCATACAATTTATATTTATAAATACTTTTTTTTTATTTTGTATAATTTAGCTCTTAAGTATAAAAAAG